CTTTGAATTAAACCATAAAGAGCTGAGAACTGCAGGGAAATTTAAATCTGAGGGTTAATTGGTCAGTTATGAGCCATAAAAAGGTTAAAAATGTGTTATTTTTGGTTAAAAGACTAAAATATATGGTAAATTTTAGAAACTATTGAAATTTTTGCAAAGAAATCGGTAGATATCTTTGACTTAGACCATAATCAGTTAAAAACTGCAGAGAAATTTTAATTCGAAGGTTAATTGGTTAGTTATTAACCATAAAAGGGTTAAAACTGTGTTATTTTTGGTTGCAAAATATTAAAATAATAAAAAATTTTAGTTTGTACAACTTTAAAATCAATCTGGTAATCAAAAATCTTAGTACTAACCCACCGAGAAAAAAAAAATACTTTCACTAGAGAACCACAATATTCATATTTTATCTATTTTTCTTTCGAGTAAGTAGTAAGTATACAGTAAGTATTGGCCACTATGAAAAGAAATGGAAGAAAGTCCGGGATGAGACATAATGCAATGAGGGTATGAGTTTATGACGCCAATTAAATGTAAACGGACTTGATTTTACGATAGGGTTTTTGTTATCCGGGTCCTTTCTAAGTCCCGAGAAAGTATGCAAATACAAAGCAGAAAGCAGCGGCAAAAGAGCAATAGTCTATGGGTTTGGGTTTACTGCGCTAGGTAGTATAGTGCTATTGCAGTGTGCCAGTAGGTAGTAGTTTTATTATGAGAAAAGGTCGTATCGCGGGATGGGTATTTATAGTAGCCTCTGTCTCTTTGCTTACTGATGGTGATGGTTTTACTATTCTAGCAACCAGACTGAGGACAGCTTGGGCTTTTGGATACGGGATTGAGGTAAAAGCTGTGGTCATTGCATGCCAAAGGAAAAGTAACCGTTTACGATACAGATAGTATACTCTCTATACAGCCAGCCGTTTTATTATTGAGATAAAAAAATCCTTACTTTTTTCCTGGGTTCACTTTTTACTCTAAAACTTATACCTTAAACCGGGCGCTGCGGTGATTTTATTGCCTTGGTCACGTCGACGCTTTTAGATTTGTTATTAAGATACCTGTTGATATTGGACTTTTTTGACTGTTCATATAATTTACTAAATTTATCCTATACTAGAGCTCCTTAATCGATTCAATTTCTTTTTCATTTACACTTTTATTTTTTTGTTCAAAATTTTCGTTTGAAATACTTTCACTTTTTTGCCGATATCTAACTAATAAATGTTAGGATTCATATTCTTCTGCAGCTCTCAACTCATCATAGTCTAATTTAAAAATATATACCGAATTTTATCCAAAAATTTCAATAGTTTCCAAGATTGACCGTATATTTTAGTCTTTTAACCAAAAATAACACAGTTTTAAACCTTTTATAGCTGATAACTGACCAATTAACCCTCCAATTCAAAATTCTCTGCAGTTTTTAACTAATTATGGTCTAACTAAAAGATTTTTACCGATTTTTATCCAAAAATTTCAATAGTTTCCAAAATTTACCATATATTTTAGTCTTTTAACCAAAAATAACACAATTTTAACCCTTTTATGGCTGATAACTGACCAATTTACCCTCAGATTCAAATTCCCTTGCAGTTTTCAACTGATTATGGTCTAATTTAAAGATATCTATCGATTTCTATCCCATAAGTTTAAAATTCTTCTAACTTTTCAGTATCTAAACTTTCCATATCGAAAAACAATGCAATTTTTAATATTTTCATGTAAATCAGCGCGTCTACTTTGTTCATAATTTACCCTGCATCACAAAACGATTTAAAAAAGCCCACTATCTCCCAACGTGTGACACATGAACCCGTGAGTCGCGAATCCAAGTGACCAAGTATGCGTGAAATGTTGGAGCTTGTCAATTAACAGACCGCCAGGCAACGGCATTACGCTTTGATAGACTTTAAATCATGGGTTAAATAGCAATTGGAGCAAGCAAGAGCAAGAGCGAGCTTGGTTAAACAAAAAGTTTAGTTTTTTTTTTTCGTGAAACCTCGTTACGGTTAAAGTGAAAAAGCTGGTCGGTGATCGTTGCTCGCGGATAGAAACACGTTACACCCTCGCGGGGGTGTTATTGGCGCTCGGGTGGTGCTGCCTTCTGATGTTTGGGGGGTAACTGGACAGGGAATTATCGGAAAAAGGTAAAATCAGCGGTTTCTACGAAATGACTGGTGCAAACCGCGCCCATCGACGTTTAACATGCTATCTCTGTAGTGTGGTGCCTATCGACCAGTTTTCCGCCGTATCTACTTCCTACTCTTTCTCGTTGTGTACCATTGCCTCCACACGCATCCACGCACACACCAACACCAACATCACCATCCGCATTCTACAACCAGCCAACATTTATTGATAAACACACAACAAAGCACTCTTTAGCGGGGTTCCACCTTCTACCGATCGATAAGCGATAACGAGGTCGAATTCGTTCCAATGCAAAGCAGCTTGTTAGCCAAACCTCGTCTCGCGTGCCAGACATCTTTCTTAGTTGGCTCCAGGATCGGTTTCCACAACCCAAGACTACCCAAAGGTCCAAGGACGGTTATTGCCTTCTAATATGTTAAAAAATTCTTTCAACTGGTTTCCTTTATCCCAGAAAGACCAAGTTATTTACATTCCCAAGTACGTATTTATCTGGGGGAGCCAGCAGCAGCAGCCCTCTTATTATTTCCCTTTCGTCTTGTCTTGCCGCTTTCTTTCTTTTATCAAAACAAGAGCTTATCGGCAATTGAGTTTGCATAATCAAGAATCTCTACCTCGAAAATCAGCCTCTCTTTGAGCTTCAGATCAAAAAGGTTCACAAATATCCAGTTCTGGATGACAATTAGTCCTTGCTCTAAAATTGCTGTTGGCACAAAAAGTCACCAATTGTAATCCAACTCGCATGCGTATAGTTGCGGTCTGTGTGCGTGTGTCTTCCACCCACTATCCTCCAACCAGAGGACGCAGAGATTGTGGATATGGAGCAAACGTGCGAGAGGATCAGGATGGTTACTAATTGTCCGAGGCCTCTACCCAGTGACGAGCGCCCCTCATCAACGCTGATTGCCTAACTCTAGAACCCTCAAACTCGGACAGCTCTCTCTCTGAATTGAAGCAGAGTTCTTGCTGGCTCTCTTACTCCCGTTGGTGGTAATCTCGAACAAGAGGATCCAGTTTGTTGGTCGCCAATACCAATTTGTCAGTTTCCAGTTGCGATTGTCTCTATTCTGTACTTGGACTAACTTGACTCTCATTGTCAATTGTCGACCGGTTGTTTTTCGACACCCCGTTCATCAATCAGCAAAATCATCCAATCAGGATTATGTCCAACTACCAGCTTGCTCGCCAAATTCTTGACCAGTTCTTCCCCCAACAAGATTTTCTGCTAATTTTTTTTAACCCAGAAAAGGTTCTCAATCATTTTTAGCAGTCTAATTATCAATTTTGATGATGGTGGCTCCCTACCTAGGGTTGCGTTTGTAGAATCAAATGAGGACCGCTGCCTAATACAGATCTCACGTTCCCCTTCGATATAAAACTCTCCCCTACACACGCTTTCAAATGAGAGTGTGGCGTGCTACCATTCAGATTTAAATTGTACCAACAAAAAATCTATCCAAGGCTACAATACTCGCTCGCTATGCATATGAATGTTTTGATGTGAATTTTTTAGTGTAGATATGCAAATTTAAAGATACATGAAGCCCTTTTTCACGGCACGAGCTCAAGACGAATGTGACCTGAAATATCTTAATCCTAATTTGGGCCTTGTCATGCCCTTGGAATATTATTAATAGTTCAAAGGCATGACAAGGCCCAAAATATTTTAATTATTTTATCTAAAGTTTCTATATCAAAAAACACCAGAAACTGCATTGTTTTTTGATATGGAAACTTAAGATACTGAAAAGTTGGAAGAATTTTGAGATTTTTGGATGAAGATTGGTCAGTATCTTTGAATTAGATCACATTCAGTTGAAAACTGTAAGATAATTTCTATCTGAGGGTAATTTGGACAGTTATCTGCCATCAAAGGGTTAAAATTGTGTTATTTTTGGTTAAAAGACTTAAATATATGGTAAATTTTGGAAACTATTGAAATTATTGGATAAATTTCTACAGATTTCTTTGAATTAGACCATAATCAGGTAAAAACTGCAGAGGAATTTTAATTGAAGGGTTAATTGGTCAGTTATGAGGGATAAAAGAGTTAAAACAGTGTTATTTTTGGTTAAAAGACTAAAATATATGGTCAATTTTGTAAACTATTGAAATTTTTGGATAGAAATCGGAAGATATCTTCAAATTAGACCATAATCAGTTGAAAACTGGAGAGGAATTTGAATCGAAGGGTTAATTGGTCAGTTATCAGCCATAAAAGGGTTAAAGTTATGTTATTTTTGGTTAAAAGACTTAAATATACGGTAAATTTTGGAAACTATTGAAATTATTAGATAAAAATCGGTATATATTTTGAAATCGGACTATAATGAGTTAAGAACTGCAAGAGAATATGAATTCTTACATTGATTAGTGAGATATCTGCAAAAAAGTGAAAGTATTTCTAACAAAAAAATAAAATTTGGGCCTTTTCATGCCTTTGAAATATTATTAAGATTCCAAATTCTTCCAATAGTAACTAACATCTCCATATTATCTAAACTTAGCTTCTAATGGTGAAAAATTATGTAGAAAAATATTTATTTAATTTAGATTTATTTTATCTCTTCTATAATAATCTCTTTACATTAAATCTCTGTTTGAACTTACAATAAATTACAGACAGTTTAAGACAATAAATATGCCAGCTATCATACAGTCTCGTGGCTCTCCCTCATAAACATTCATCTCATGGTTAATCCATTCATTTGTAAACATTGTTCGTTCATTAGTATTTACACTTTGTACAATAAATATAAATATCAATTATTTACACGGTATTTACATAAAATATAACATATAAGTACGCATCACTAGCCTTCCAAAGTTCTCAACCACCCACTTCAAATTTAATAAGGCCTCCAAACGGGCTTAGAAGTCACTGAAAGCTTCGTCGGAGCTTTGAGCTCACAACGGCCGCTTTCTTTCTTCACTGGAGGGCTGGAGGGAGTCGCTGGTGGCGTTCTCTTGCATACGTCACTCGTCACGGCGATTTGGTTGGTGGTACCGTTGACGCTGACGTTGGACAGTGTGTTGAGGCGAATTGGCACAAAGGCACTGCGTACTTCTTCAGATTCGCTGCTAGTTTCGCTTGGACTTCTTGGAGGGCTCCGAGACGGGCTCGTTGGCAAGGCTGGTGTCTTCGTCGTTGGCATTCCCGGGTACTCCGTCGGGAACTTTACGTGCTCGTGGAACGGGTATGTTGAGGGTAACATACTGGGTGTGAAGGCTGGAGGGAATAAATCCGCTGGCGGCATTGGCATTGCTCCTGAAAAATAACAATTTGGATTAGATTAATTTAAGGAGATCTAAGTACCCTCTTAAGGTAAAGAATGTCTATAAAAAAAATCATACGTAGAAATACTTTTTTTTTATTGAATTAATACTACTTAATTGTATAAACCTACAAAATACAATCGTTTAAATCCGTACGGGTTAATTATAATCGATGGAAAATTCTTAAAACTGGTGAGAGAGAAATCAGCTGTTGGAACTGAAGCCGCCATTGAAGATATTAAACCGCGGGATATTCAAAACTTTTGAATTTTGCCGGGAATTTCAAACTTTAAGGAGATCTAAGTACCCTGCTAGTGTAAAGAATGTCTAAAAAAATAATACGTAGAAATACTTTTGGTATCTAAAAATTAATTTTTAAATTAACTAATAACATTTGTTGAGGAAATTTCCGATAAATTTACTCATTAAATAATTATTAACATTTTATTGAATAATAAAAAATCTAGCACTCTGAATTACTGGTATACACTTGACAACACAAAAAGAGTGTCCCTAACCTTTAAATTTATTTATGTTTACTGTCTAACTAAAATGACTAAGATCTTCTAGCATATAAAAAACCGCGGTTACTTATGCTTTGAGTAACTGCGTAAGCGGTGTTGCCAAGTCAAATACAAGACTTTAAAGAACGCAAGTTCCGAGTGATTTTTCATTATTAGAATTTACAAATTTTCAGGAAGTTTTAAAAATTTGACGTGGATCTCCTTAATTTTACTTGAAGCAAAGCTGTTATATTTTTTGACAACTATTGTGTAAATTTTCAACTCAAATAAAAGCTAATAACTAAAAATAGTTCAACATTGAAGCGTACAATTTGGATTTTCTGTTTTTTAGGGTTGTATTGTATGAATACAATCTCCCGAAGGGAGCTTGTGGGAACAACCCCGAAGGGTCCGTAGACCACGGGATGAATCATCAGCGAATCAATACGGTTCTCAACTCTGAAAACTTTTGCGAACTAACTAATAAAAAAGAGATGCTTACCTTTGATGAGTGCAGGATGTGGCAGGTGCCATGCGTGCCCTAAGTAAGCAGCGTCTATCCAGGGATTCAGCAGCCCCAGTCCAGGAAAGCCAGGTCCGTATTGATAATCTGCAACAGAACCAAAGAATAAAATTAGCAAAACTGCAAAAAATGATGATGATGATGGTGCTAACTAAAATCTCCGTGTAGTGTTGATGGTATAAATAAGAATCATTAAACGGGATTTAACGAGCCCGAGAATAGCTGGGAATCGTAAACCGGCGATTAAAACAGCTCGTAAGCAAATACCCTGTGTGTTTTGTGGCACATATGGCTGCTGGCATATGCCAGGCGATAAACAAATTCATAAAGCGGTGTCTTTGCCAGGATGATGGCATCCATATACCATGATCACTCGACGGAGACATTTATTATTGTTTTACGTTATCATCCCGGAGAATTAGTCAAAGAAGCCCGCGTTGGATTTACACATATGTGCGATGTAATGGACATGTGCGGGAGAATACCAGAGAAACGGAAAGCAACACCCGTGACCGCGGCGTGGTTTGAGGTACGCCGGATTATTAAACGCTGCAAGGCCTCTGACACCCGTTTTGCGGATTCTCTGGTTGGACACGCGCTTATGATCACTTCTGACCACTTCCTTCCCAGAATTTGGAGGATTTCGTGGAGTAGGGTTATGGTTAATCATTATTGACTACTTACTTGATTTAGATCTTGGCTCTCGAGGTCCGTCTACGGTTACTTTTATCGCTTTGGTGTAAGTAGCGATTTGTGATGGTTGGCTGCTGATTTGTATCGTCAGCGAAAATGATTTTCCTGAAACAATTTTATTATCATTAGATTAAATTTGCAAGATTTAGGTCTTATAAAATTCAATATTTGGCTGATCAATTGCTTCAAAGCTCAATTTATTTAAAGATATTCCTTTTGATAATCTTAATTAGGTATTGTATAAATAGAAAAATTGATTTGAATCAAGTGAGAAATTTCTGACCCAAAAAAATAAGTTTTATAGGTTTTATAGGCTTGAATTGAGACCAAAAATTCTTGAATTAAAAATTTTTTAACTCAAATCAAGAATATGAAGTTCTGCAAAATTATTTTTGGTGTAGAAAATCATTTTTTGAGGAATCTAAAGCTTTGAATACCAAAAATTTAGCTAGTAACCAAAATCTAATATTAATTCTGACCCAAAAAAACGCAGACTGATTTTTCTGATTTTTCTGATCAATCTGACTTATTTTGCTAATCAAGATTTTTTATTTGAGCATAAAAACCATCAAATCTAAAGATCAGGCATCAAATAATCAATAATCAGTTAGATTTTACTGAATTTGCATAATGTAATTTAAATTATGTATTAAATAAATAAAAAAATTGATTTGAATTAAATAAAAAATTTTTGAACCAAAAAAATGAGTTTTATAGGTTTTATAGGTATTATAAGTATTATAGGCTTGAATTAAGATTTTTTTCAACTCAAATCAAGAAAATGAAGTTTTGCAAAATTAGTTTCTGAGTAAAATCATCTTTTGAGGAATCTAAAGCTTTGAATATCAAAAAATTAGCCGATCAAAAAAATCAGAAAGATCTGACCCAAAAAAAAAACGCAGACTGATTTTTCTGAGTTTTCTGATCAAGCTGACTGATTTTTCTGATCAAAATTCTTTCTTTAATCATAAGAACAATCAAATCTAAAAATCAGGCGTCAAATCTAAAGATTAGGCATCAAATCTAAAGATCAGGCATCAAATTATTGACAATCAGGTAAGAATTTATAGAATTCGTAAAATGTAATCATAAATAGACCAATTAAAGGAGAGTAAGGATAAAAAATCTCACCTCTCCCACTTCTCCCAACAAATCTAAGATCATTAAACTTAGCGACCTGGTTCTTCATAACAGCGGTGCAGTTTCTGAGTTCCCCGCAGCAATTCTCATCATTACCGGCGCGTATCGTCACCGGAGTGCCATCGCTGACTTCATCAAGGGCAACAACTTTGAAAGCGACCGGCAAGGACTTGTTAGATCGCCAGTGGGTGGGCAAGGCGGTGCAGAGAATCGCAGGGCTTCCGGTCTGCACGAGGTCGCCGTGGCAGGCACGAAGTGCGTCGTGGATGGTGCTGAAGCTATCCATGCCTAGCGGGCCTTCCGGCAGATGCATTTTACACTATAATCCTGGTTCTAATGGCACTGCACTATCGATCTGGTGATCAATCACAACACTGCACTACTAACAAGCTAACAATTCACTGGTTCAGACGATTAGCCTCCTACTGGTCCGACTGTCCGGCAATCCAGTTGTCCGTCAGGAGCGGTGGGCAGAAAAGTTTTAAAATGTGAGTTAAAACGAGGCGCACTCGATGCTCGTCGAGCGGATTCTAGTTTTTCGCAGAGATCTACCACCTATTTAGAGGGGATTTTTATCCCCACCAATTTTTCCTAACGCCCCACCCAGCGGTGGAGCGTCGACCAATGAGGACCGTGGTCGTGTTTGTGGCCTCAGTGGCTCGCCGCCTTCACCCCTAACCAAGCTTAAGGGTTGCTCGAGACCGTGGGGATCTGAGCTAGAGTCTCCAAGAGACCGTTCCTGCTTCTGTATGTTGGCTCTCGCTCCCACTCGAGCTTGTTGGGTTGCTGATTCCTCCTTCTCGCTTCCACGTGCTCGGAAGCCACACGCTATACCAAGCTTTGTCTTCTTCTATGCTTCTAGTCTCTATTCTCCGAGTCTTCTGCTTCTGCCACGCTTTCACTCTCGCTCACACCTGCTTGATTATGGGCTTCTACGTGTGGGTGGACCACTGTGTATTCCGGGAGATTATCGGCGGCATGACACCCACGTACACGTGTTTAGTTTTTTTTGATCTGTTTTCATATTGTTTTTAGTTATTTATGTAATAAGGTCATTATTTTTTTTTTTAAATTAATCATTTCTTTTTAATTCATTATTGATATTTTTAATTTAATTCTTAAATATTTTGGGGTTGACATTTTTTATAAGAAAATTTTTGGAACTCTGTTTAATTATTTTTATTAAAAAAAAATTTTTTTTGTTATAATTTTGATAAAAATTACATTAATAATTTTCTAAAAAATATAAAATAAATTGATTTTAATTATTTAAGACAGTTATTTACATTGAATAATAATAACGAAAAAAAAAATTTTTTTTCTCCTGTCTGACACCAAATTCAAACAAAGACTGGTTAACCAAAGCAGCTTAGATAGTAAAATAACAGACCTTTAAATACACTCCATTATTACAATAGTAAATGAGGTTTAAAATGAAGTTAAAACCTTAACTAAAGTTTCTCTTCATTATCAATCGAAAAAAAAAAAATTTAATAGCCACAATTTATGTCATCGGTAAAATTACTGAAAAGTAGCAGTGTAAATAATAAAACAATAAACTTCGGGTTTTATTTTTAATTCTCACTGGACCATATATTATATATGTTATATTATGAAGAGTGCAAAATTGTCAAGTCATTGCTAAGGCATAGGCCTCTAGTACCTATACTACCTACTATTCTAAATTTACACAGACATAAATCGTAATTCTCACCCAGGTAATTACAATCTCAAATGAAGAAATTCTCGGTCCGGTCTTTTCTTTAGAAAGTAAAAACTCTTAAAAGCGTTCGGGTAAGTCTAAGTAGCTTCTCTAATCCTATTTGAATACAATCAAGGTTTATAAATATTTTGATGGCATTGTCACCTGGCTTAAGAACCTTCTAAAGATCCGAGATTGGGAATTTACATTTAGAAGCCTGGTAATTATTTTAGAAAAATAATAATTCTTGTATTATTTTTAATTTATTGTCGGCTTAATTTCTTGTCTGGAAAAATTTGAAAAAAAATTTTTTTTTTAAAGAAATAAATTGTTAAAAAAATTTGCAAATAAATTTGTTAAAGAATTAATAAAATTAAATAGCGTGGGAAAATATAAAAAAGGAAGTACTGGATAATAATACGCAATATTGTACGAGCGATTGTTAAAAAAATTTTCTTTCAAACAAAATCGATTTTTCATTCTTGATATATATATTATGTTGTATATTATACACTTTTAATGCGAGCAACTCCACCCACTGTCTCCGGTAATCTCTTCCGTTTAGTTCAAATCTATCCTCTACTCATAGTACAACATATATGTATGTATATCGGCGTTTAGTGTGTAAGTGTATTAATAACAGGAAATATAATTCTGATCAAACAAGTAAAGAAATATATATGTATATATTTGTTGTTGATTTATTTTTATTAAAAAAAATAAAACCTATAATAATGTTTAATATTAAAAATTATAAAAAAATGTCAATTTATTATAAATATTTAGGCTGCATTTGAAAATGCTCTATCTCTAGATACATAATTAAGAAATGACCTTGTATCTTGTGAACTATTGAAATTTTTATAGATATAAGCTCATCCCGATGTTATACCCATTGAGACCTTTCATTTAAGTACCCACATGCATTTTGACATATTTTTCATAAAAATATATAAAAAATTGATGTGGGTACTCAAATGAAAGCTCTTGATGAGTGCAACATCGGGATGAGCTTATCTTTTTATAAACATCAATATTTAAGAAAGTACAGTGCAATTTAACAATATATAAGGTATATAATTAAGAAATTACCTTGTATCTTGTGAACTATTGACATTTTTATAGATATAAGCTCATCCTGATGTTATGCTCCTCAAGACCTTTCATTTGAGTACCCATATCAATTTTTCATATATTTT